TTCACGCCTCTCTTACAGTTGCTTGAGTTGATGCTGTCCCTTTCTTTGCCATGCCAATAGAAAGAGACAACGCATGACCTAATAAAGCATTTGACGGTTTCTGAGTAAGGCTGTTACTGTAACACACATTACTGTTTCCTCAAAATCGTCTGATCGCGTCCATTTTTGGACTCGTCCCCGCGTTACGGACAACTAGCAAAGCATTTACAGAGCCGGTGGGGCAAGCATCTACGTTCCAGCACCAGGATTATGTGGCGTCGTATCATCAACAGATTATTAGCTACAGACGCTGGACATCTATCTCTTAAAGAGCGGCCAACGAAAGAATGACAGGTCGTGTTAGTTCGTTATGACGACAGAATAAAATACACTTTCGATTTAGCAAAAAAGAGGTTCGAAAATGAACTCTAACTCCGTCGCCATAAGGAAGTGACGCGTCTGTATTGCATTGTTTCGTAAGTCACACTGTAGCGAGCGATTTACAGAGCCGGCGGGACAAGAGTCTACCAGCACCAGAATTATGTGAAGTCTATTAATAAACAAATTACTAGTAAAAGACGTTGAACGTCTCTTAACAATTTTGCACGCTTAATAAAAAATGACCTATTAGTACTCAGTATACTGTTGAGTTTGCGTCAGAACCATTTTTAATACTATTTTCAACACTTTTGCTAAAAAAATGCATTTACGAAGGTTGTATACATTGTTAGAAAATACAAAATTACGGAGCGAAGCGTGCGGTAAAATTCATTACGAACGCTCCCATACATGGCAACGTGTGTATTCTTTACGTTTTTTTTTAATTTCGATCGCACCTCCTCGGAAGCGCTTTTAGTCTATACCTATGTCTCACTTTAATACTAAAAAGAAAAAGAGACGAAAGATGTAGTTCTAATTGTCACCACTCGCACGTGGCGCCATTTCGAAATGCGCGCAATTTTTTTATGAAATCTGCTTCATTACTTAAATTATGTATAATGTTTTCTCGCAAATGTGTTGAAAAACGTTGTATGACATTCGTGCACATTGGTAATTATTGTCTAATTTTAAAGTTATGTGTTGTTTACGCATCAGTGATATTTCCATGTAAAAATATAGATAGTGGTTAACACAAGCTGTTGTCTGTATGGTTCAAGTACTAATAGGTCAGTAATTGGGTAAGCGTTCTATTTGTCTCTTTCTAAATCCCTACATTCACAATACGTCAGAAAGAGACAACACCTAGAACACCTTTTCCTAACGTTCGGTGTATAATATAATACAAGTATTGTATGAATGGTACATTTTCAATTTAGTAGTCACATAATAGAACTAGGCATTCATTCGATGCTGCGTTTGCGCGCTGGAGACAGCAAGAAGAATTTGATGGAGGTACTGTTAGAATAATGTGAACCATATTTCTTTGCTGTTATGTGTTATTTTTCTTTGAACAACTTTTATTTACAGAATAAATCTTTTAAGGTTATAAACTCTTTTAATAAGATCTTTCTATTGGCCAATAGTTTTGTTTGTTGAATCAATATAATATCTTTATGTCGATGTATATTTACTACAAAGATTTGGTTATTCAAACTCAATTCTACAAGCAGTACAGGAAATTATCAAGGTTTCAGAATCACCTATTGACACAACGAATATAATAATAACAGTACTGAGAACGACAAAAATGAATTAATGTAGCTACTGCGGTTAAAAGCAGGTAAATTTCTTTCGCCTGTTCTTCTTGTCGGCTAAAACATTTACCAAATGAGTGGCAGTGAATAACATTTAACTAGAGCTTTTCATAAATCAAATTGTTTAAACTTTACTTCAATTTCTTTTCAAACCTTAGTGATCAGAGATAAATATGAATTAGTGAACATTATGATTTTTACACGGCGTTATTCCTGAAGTCTTGACGTTTCCATAGCTAATTAAAATTACACAAGTGTGCTGTAACATAGCTATAGATAATCTCTTATCTATTAGACAAGTCCGTCCGTCTGTCTGTGGTGTTGTTTCAGCGGCCAAACCGTAAGAGATAGATAAAGAGAATATTTAAGTTATAAGTTAAGAATAGTCTGATAAGACTACAAACCGGATTTGAGTAACGTAGTACTTCCGGTTTTCGAGAAATCAGGTTTTGGTGAACATTTGGTTCACTGGTTTGCTAGTATAGATATATTTGGCTTAACAATCTTGCTATTTATAAAGCATTGGCATGCTATTTTCTTTTATTTTATTAATTATACACTGTATCGTAGTCTTGTTACAGAAGTACTGAATCCAGCGCGCTTTTTAATACAACATGTGTAACAAATTATTGAATGCCTCATTTTTTTAATAACGATCTTTTCCATATACGATTATATTAAAGAGTACATATATCTAATATATAAAATTCTCGTGTCACGGTACGAACTACTCGACCGATTTTTGTGATAGTGGTTAACACAAGCTGTTGTCTGTATGGTTCAAGTACTAATAGGTCAGTAATTGGGTAAGCGTTCTATTTGTCTCTTTCTAAATCCCTACATTCACAATACGTCAGAAAGAGACAACACCTAGAACACCTTTTCCTAACGTTCGGTGTATAATATAATACAAGTATTGTATGAATGGTACATTTTCAATTTAGTAGTCACATAATAGAACTAGGCATTCATTCGATGCTGCGTTTGCGCGCTGGAGACAGCAAGAAGAATTTGATGGAGGTACTGTTAGAATAATGTGAACCATATTTCTTTGCTGTTATGTGTTATTTTTCTTTGAACAACTTTTATTTACAGAATAAATCTTTTAAGGTTATAAACTCTTTTAATAAGATCTTTCTATTGGCCAATAGTTTTGTTTGTTGAATCAATATAATATCTTTATGTCGATGTATATTTACTACAAAGATTTGGTTATTCAAACTCAATTCTACAAGCAGTACAGGAAATTATCAAGGTTTCAGAATCACCTATTGACACAACGAATATAATAATAACAGTACTGAGAACGACAAAAATGAATTAATGTAGCTACTGCGGTTAAAAGCAGGTAAATTTCTTTCGCCTGTTCTTCTTGTCGGCTAAAACATTTACCAAATGAGTGGCAGTGAATAACATTTAACTAGAGCTTTTCATAAATCAAATTGTTTAAACTTTACTTCAATTTCTTTTCAAACCTTAGTGATCAGAGATAAATATGAATTAGTGAACATTATGATTTTTACACGGCGTTATTCCTGAAGTCTTGACGTTTCCATAGCTAATTAAAATTACACAAGTGTGCTGTAACATAGCTATAGATAATCTCTTATCTATTAGACAAGTCCGTCCGTCTGTCTGTGGTGTTGTTTCAGCGGCCAAACCGTAAGAGATAGATAAAGAGAATATTTAAGTTATAAGTTAAGAATAGTCTGATAAGACTACAAACCGGATTTGAGTAACGTAGTACTTCCGGTTTTCGAGAAATCAGGTTTTGGTGAACATTTGGTTCACTGGTTTGCTAGTATAGATATATTTGGCTTAACAATCTTGCTATTTATAAAGCCTTGGCATGAAATTTTCTTTTATTTTATTAATTATACACTGTATCGTAGTCTAGTTATAGAAGTACTGAATCCAGCGCGCTTTTTAATACAACATGTGTAACAAATTATTGAATGCCTCATTTTTTTAATAACGATCTTTTCCATATACGATTATATTAAAGAGTACATATATCTAATATATAAAATTCTCGTGTCACGGTACGAACTACTCGGGAACGGCTCGACCGATTTTTGTGAAATTTTATATGCATATTGGGTAGGTCTGAGAATCGTACAACATCTATTTTTCATCACCCTAAATGTTAAGGGTGGTCCTGCCTTAAATATTTTTTGAAGACAAAATTTTTTGTTTTTATTTTTTTATGATACATCATACAAAAATACATGCAACCCTAAATTTTCACCCTTCTACCACCAACCCCTATTTTTATGGCGGTACGAAGTCCGCTGGATCAGCTAGTATATATATAAGAGATAGCATAGTAAAGAGACTTAATAAAAACTTCGAAAGAGTACGGGCTCCCACACAAAACTGCGATGCGATTCGATGCGCCGTCGCATCGCAGTAACTTGCTTTTCGAATTGCTGCTATGCGATTTTGTGCGGCAAAGATTTGGTTAGGGTGTTAAACCTTAAAACCTACTGTATAGTCTGTTTAAAACGAATTTAGAACAAAATTAAACAAACACTTTTTACCTCTCAATTCCCACACAATGATTCACTAAATGGATTTCCCAACACATTTGTTTTCATTTCTAGGGGTTTGACTTATTAGTTCACTATCTTTCATAGCACTAATTTCATTCTTAATATTTGAAAAATTGAAAATAAAAACTCGAGTCGAAAAGCAAGGTTATTTTGAAAGATGGGAATTGTCTGTTGTCTATGGTTGAACAGTGTTGCACCGAAAAGTCTATTCAAAAGGATTTCAGTTGACGTTAGAGGTCGAATAGTGAATCGATTATTTATTCGAACTGATAAGTTACATAATGAATAATAGTTTGTTTATTGCATATATTTAGTTGCAAGCAGCACGCAATTTTTGTGTTATTGCATATATTTAGTTGCAAGCAGCAATTACGGTGGTATTTTGTTATTATGTTCAAGTTTTATTATTATCTTAATTTCGCCAATTACGGATCAATCGTTTATAGAAAGATAGCTACAAACAAAATGAGACCTTATAATAATAATGTTAGAGTATAGTTTAGCTCGCGACCGTATTGTCCAGTAACTCAACGTACACAAAAAACACATTGCTTTGGAAAGTTCCAGAATTATATTAATTTATAGAAAGATCGCTACTAACAAAATGAGACCTTATAACAAATGCGTTACAGTCTAGTTTAGCTCGCGACCGTGTCGTCCAGTAACTCAACGTACATGAAAGACACATTCATTAGAAAGTTCCAGAATATAATCGTTTATAGAAAGGTCGCTACTAACAAAACGAGACCTTATAACAACAACGTTACAGTCTAGTTTAGCTCGCGGCCGCGTCGTCGAGAAACTCCACGTATGTGAATGGAAAGTGTCCTCGCTTACCGTTCACCTCGCCTTCCCATTGGCCGTTCATGTTCATCTTTATCACCTAAGGAATAAGGTTCATATTAAAACGGTATTCGAACAAAACTTATTGGTATATGTTTGACGGATTGACAGTACAAATATAGCTTTTATTGATTCGTAATAGGGTATTTGACAAGTTTTAGAAAACGATCTCACGTTATTGAATAATGTTTATGGAGTCCGTAAAAAGGATGGATATTCATCATTCTGTTGCGTATTTCAGTAAAAATAACCAAATCAAAAACTCCATTTTCAAGTTGCCGAGAAAACGTTTTTCTGGACAATATGGCGTCTTACTAGTGTGTGACGTCACACAACTGTTATTAAAACGTCAAACGATACAATGTAATGTCACTTTAACCGGAAGTTTACTTGCGTGTGACGTCATTTTAGGCTCCGCCAATCTCATGCGTTTTGGGTCACGTGACAATAGATAAGAAAACTATTATCTTTTTCGTGGGTTTTTAGTAAAATTATGAATATTTCTTTTGTAAAAATAGTAAAAACCCCTGCCAATATTCATTGTAAACACAGATGCTAACAATTGGCACTTTATTTTTAATACTGTCAAATACCCTATTTAAACTAACGCTCATTCATCACAAACATAAACATTGAGGTTAGAGGGAAGGATAACGCTCGCTACGTGCTAAAGCATTAGCTCGGTTGACCTAGAAAAATTGTAGAATTTATAGTTCATTTTTCAGCCACCAGCCGCGCTGCCGTCGGTAAGTAGTATCTGTGAAGTTAGCTGTTTATGAGTACAAGTAGATGAAGTTATAACTAGAAAAAAATCCACGCGGACCAGGCAGCGGACGGGACTCGAACCCGCATCCTTCGCTATCCGGGCGAATGCACTGACCATTATGCTACCACGGCCCTATTAGCCGCGTTGAAATTTTCCTAGCCTTAAGCTGCAAGGCAGCGCCATTTCTTCGCATTGTAGGTAACCCACAATGTCAAATGAATACTTTTTCAAGTATTAAACATTTGAAAGAAGAAATAGCAATTATAGTTATGATTTTGTTTATTTTTTAAGCATTTAACTGCTAGATGTTTAAATCTAAAGAAAATATAACTAGAAAAAAATCCACGAGGACCAGGCAGCAGACGGGACTCGAACCCACACCCTTCGCAATCCGGGCGAATGCACTGCCCAATTATTGAAGTTAGTTGAACAATGTACAAATTTTCTTCGCTGCATCGGTCATTTCAAATTATCGCACAGCAGCCCGCTTTTATTGAGACAACTTAGCGATTGCAGCGCCTCACTTATTTTATGTCCATATTTCTGGGACAGAATTTTCTACAGCGATCGTTCACCTTGTCTCTAACCTCCATGTACATGAATAACGTCTAAATTTGATTAAAGAATCGGCAATCGAACATTACTTATTGGTATAATTATGTTTGACGAATTGACAGTACAAATATCGCTTTTATTGCTTCGTAATTTAAACTAAAGCTTAATCATCAGACACCAGTAACGTCTAAATTTAATTTAAGGATATTCTATCTTTCATCTAGCTTCACCGTCACTTAACATCAGGTGGGGTGGAGTCAATTGTCGGACCTCATCATCATCATCAGCCTATTAATGCCCCCACTGCTGGGGCACAGGCCTTCCCTATGGATGGAATAGGGAGATTGGGCCGTGACCCACCACGCGGGCCCAGTGCTTATTGGTGGGTGCTAACGACTGCAGATGCAGCCGGGACCAACGGCTTAACGTGCCTTCCGAAGCACAGAGGAGCTCGAGATAGTAATTTTTGGTCACCCATCCAAAGACCGACCACTGCGAAAGGTGCTTAAGTTCAACGTTCGCAGCCGAACGCGCTAACCACTTGCGCCATCGAGCTCCTCCTCAATTGTCGGACTTAACTAAAAAAAAATATATAGCATAGAAAGACATTAGAATAAGGATGACACGTGAGTTTAAATCTCTTATCTATTAGACAAGTCCGTTCGTCCGTCGGTGGTGCTGTTCCAGCGGCCAAACCGTAAGAGATAGATAAAGAGAATGTTCAAGTTATAAGTTAAGAATAATCTGATAAGACTACAAACCGGATTTGAGTAACGTAGCACTTCCGGTTTTCGAGAAATCACGAATTTTCTCAATTAATTAAATACATTTTTTTTTCTTTTTTTTGAATCAGGGTTTGGTGAACATTTGGTTCACTGGTTTGCTAGTTTCATTTAATTTATTGGCGTCTCTTTTTGAGGCCGTATTCTTACAAAGAGGTAATTTTTGTAAAAATCGTTTGTATAAAGTAATCACTGGACCTACAGAACCGATTTTGAAAAATCTTTCACCAGAAAAAAAGGGTCGCTAATTTCGCAACAAGGAGCATAGTAACTCAATGATGTTTGGTTTAGAATAAAGGGCCTGAGGCAAGCGCTTTTTATGAATTTGCCGCTCCTGCGCAATTGCTTAAAAAAATATTGATATAAGTTTGGTAAGATGAATGACGAACTTGGTACTATGATTTATGATAGTTCGAGGAGCGCGAAGAGTTGAAGTTAAGCAACTTTCGCAGTGGTCGGTCATTGGATGGGTGACCAAAAATTTACTATCTCGAGTTGCTCCGTGCTTCGGAAGGCACGTTAAGCTATTGGTCCCGGCTGCATCTGCAGTCGTTAGCATCCGCCGATCCGCACTGGGCCCGCGTGGTGGGTCATGGCCCAATATCCCCATTCCATCCATAGGGAAGGCCTGTGCCCCAGCAGTGGGGGCATTAATAGGCTGATAATACATTATTCAATATTGGATTTCGGGCCAATATCGTGTCTTGTATCATAAATTTCCTAACCATCGAACTCAACTTGAATCGACTTTGAACAAAGCGTCTCTGTTACACACACATTCAAGTTACATTTACGGGAATTCTCAGGCAGTTTCAAGCTGAATCTATTCGCGACTTGACGCATGTTGTCAAAATCATGTTCTATGGGGAACGAAATGGCGAGACCATTGGCAAATTTACAAATAGAAAATGTAATAGGGATGAAGACTAACTTTTTTTTCTTCATCTAACAGGTACATTATCAAAAAAGTATAGGACACGTATTTTTTCTTTTTTTACATAATCAAAACATTACAGAGATACAGGGTGTATTCCGAAATGTACATCAGTATACTGGCCAGTGGTAATGACGTCACGAATCCGACGCCATATTGTACTGGTATGCTACCATATTTTTACCGGGAAAACGAATATGACGTACGACCGAGCGTGCGTGAGAAGCATTAAAATTTTATTTCTTTTTTATTTAAAGAACAATAATGGCATCCGAACAAAAATAAATTCCTTTTAATTGATGAGGTGAATAAAGAATCTTCTTTATTTGCACTATTTTTAATATTTCGTCGATTTATGACGTCAGTGCACTGGCCAGTATATTTCGGAACAATTCACCAGTATAGCGCAGCGTCGATTCATGACGTCATTAGCACTGGCCAGTATACTAGTTTAAATTACGGAATATACCCAAATTGATTTGAAATGTTGCATGACATCATGTTTTGGTACAATTTTGACTTAAAAGTGACGTCACGAGCGCTCACTCCCAAACTTTGATTCAATTTATCTTTCCCATATTTTGGTTCATTGACCAAAGAAAAAATACGTGTCAATTATTTTTCGATAATCTAACTGACGGACTAGATAGAATTTCCTTTGCTTTAACCTGTCGTTACCTCTATTAGAATGGAAGAATATAATAATAAATAATAATATTCTTTATTGACATACACCTCACAGGACATACAAGACTCTAAACATGACAGTGAAAACGTACACAATAGGCGGCCTTGTTGCTAAACAGCAATCTCTTCCAGGCAACCCATGACAGTGAAATAAAAGGACAATAATAATGCGTTAAAGTTAAAACTCACCTTAACAATATCCCCCTCTTCTAGTTTGAGCGCAGTTTTGTCGTAGGCGTTGGGCACTCGCGTCTGCCTTACGCGGGCCAGCGCGGGCAGAATACGCTAAAAGAACAAAAACATATAAGAAATAAATAAATATTTCCCACACACACCAATTAGCCTAGCCCCAAAGTAAGCACTGTAAGGCTTGTGTTAAGGGATACTAGGGTAACGGATACAATACATATACTGATACTTATATAAGTATATTTATATAGAAATACATAGTAAAACATCTATGAATGGAGTACAAATGCTCGTATTCATCACACAAACATCTGCCCCCACCGGGATTCGAATACGAGACCTCTCGGTAGGCGGACACCTTGAAACCCGGCGTTTAAACCACTGTACCACGGAGGTCGTCAATACATAATACTGATACATATATATGTATATTTTATCTAGAAATATATCCATGACTAAGGTACAAATGCTCGTATTCATAATACTTACATTTGCCCCCACAGGGATTCGAACCCGGGACCGACCTCTGAGTAGGCGTGGCCATGAAACCTGGCGTATATATATATCACACGGCCATGGACGTCGTCATCATGTCGTCAAATGACAATCATTTGAGAATAAATTTATCAGTAAAGGACATTGGGCAAAAATGTATGGACGCTGCACCCACGTCCGCCACAGATTAAACTACATTTGTTTGAAAGGTATTATAGTCATGATCATCTGTGCCAAAGCGCATCAATTTCAATCCCGAGAGTCTTTAGTTATTTTAAGTTCAATAGGTACAAGTACTGTAACGAAAGAACATTAATAAACTAAGGGAATTAATTTAGTTAGTTCGAACCTACAGGGGGCTCAGGTATTACGGGAGTACTTCACAAAGTGCAAGGATGCTCCCTTATGTTATTCTGCTGCGCTAGAGTAAATCCAAAAATCCCCTTGGGGTTGGGGCTTTTTCAAATATTTTTTTTCGTTATAGTAAATTGTCTTCTATGTAAAACGGAGCGACCACAAATCACACAAACAAAACATGATTCCAGTTCATCCATACTAATAGACAAAACAGATAATCGTGTTCCAATGTCCAAAGCGTGTTAGATAAAAATCAATCAAGTGACATGGGAGCG